CGATATGTTACACGAGTCACCCTCTACACCCTCCCATCCACACAGTCGATCTGTTACACGAGTCACCCTCTACACCCTCCCATCCATACAGTCGATCTGTTACACGAGTCACCCTCCCATCCACACAGTCGATCTGTTACACGAGTCACCCTCTACACCCTCCCATCCATACAGTCGATCTGTTACACGAGTCACCCTCCCATCCACACAGTCGATCTGTTACACGAGTCACCCTCTACACCCTCCCATCCATACAGTCGATCTGTTACACGAGTCACCCTCTACACCCTCCCATCCACACAGTCGATCTGTTACACGAGTCACCCTCTACACCCTCCCATCCACACAGTCGATCTGTTACACGAGTCACCCTCTACACCCTCCCATCCACACAGTCGATCTGTTACACGAGTCACCCTCTACACCCTCCCATCCACACAGTCGATCTGTTACACAAGTCACCCTCTACACCCTCCCATCCACACAGTCGATCTGTTACACAAGTCACCCTCTACACCCTCCCATCCACACAGTCGATCTGTTACACGAGTCACCCTCCCATCCACACAGTCGATCTGTTACACGAGTCACCCTCTACACCCTCCCATCCACACAGTCGATCTGTTACACGAGTCACCCTCTACACCCTCCCATCCACACAGTCGATCTGTTACACGAGTCACCCTCTACACCCTCCCATCCACACAGTCGATATGTTACACGAGTCACCCTCTACACCCTCCCATCCACACAGTCGATCTGTTACACGAGTCACCCTCTACACCCTCCCATCCACACAGTCGATCTGTTACACGAGTCACCCTCCCATCCACACAGTCGATCTGTTACACGAGTCACCCTCTACACCCTCCCATCCACACAGTCGATATGTTACACGAGTCACCCTCCCATCCACACAGTCGATCTGTTACACGAGTCACCCTCCCATCCACACAGTCGATCTGTTACACGAGTCACCCTCCCATCCACACAGTCGATCTGTTACACGAGTCACCCTCTACACCCTCCCATCCATACAGTCGATATGTTACACGAGTCACCCTCCCATCCACACAGTCGATCTGTTACACGAGTCGCCCTCTACACCCTCCCATCCACACAGTCGATCTGTTACACGAGTCACCCTCCCATCCACACAGTCGATCTGTTACACGAGTCACCCTCTACACCCTCCCATCCATACAGTCGATCTGTTACACGAGTCACCCTCCCATCCACACAGTCGATCTGTTACACGAGTCACCCTCTACACCCTCCCATCCATACAGTCGATCTGTTACACGAGTCACCCTCCCATCCACACAGTCGATCTGTTACACGAGTCACCCTCTACACCCTCCCATCCATACAGTCGATCTGTTACACGAGTCACCCTCTACACACTCCCATCCATACAGTCGATCTGTTACACGAGTCACCCTCTACACCCTCCCATCCATACAGTCGATCTGTTACACGAGTCACCCTCTACACCCTCCCATCCACACAGTCGATCTGTTACACGAGTCACCCTCTACACCCTCCCATCCACACAGTCGATCTGTTACACGAGTCACCCTCCCATCCACACAGTCGATCTGTTACACGAGTCACCCTCTACACCCTCCCATCCACACAGTCGATCTGTTACACGAGTCACCCTCCCATCCACACAGTCGATCTGTTACACGAGTCACCCTCCCATCCACACAGTCGATATGTTACACGAGTCACCCTCCCATCCACACAGTCGATCTGTTACACGAGTCACCCTCTACACCCTCCCATCCACACAGTCGATATGTTACACGAGTCACCCTCCCATCCACACAGTCGATCTGTTACACGAGTCGCCCTCTACACCCTCCCATCCACACAGTCGATCTGTTACACGAGTCACCCTCTACACCCTCCCATCCACACAGTCGATATGTTACACGAGTCACCCTCCCATCCACACAGTCGATATGTTACACGAGTCGCCCTCCCATCCACACAGTCGATCTGTTACACGAGTCACCCTCCCATCCACACAGTCGATCTGTTACACGAGTCACCCTCTACACCCTCCCATCCACACAGTCGATCTGTTACACGAGTCACCCTCCCATCCTCACAGTCGATATGTTACACGAGTCACCCTCTACACCCTCCCATCCACACAGTCGATCTGTTACACGAGTCACCCTCCCATCCACACAGTCGATCTGTTACACGAGTCACCCTCCCATCCACACAGTCGATCTGTTACACGAGTCACCCTCCCATCCACACAGTCGATCTGTTACACGAGTCACCCTCCCATCCTCACAGTCGATATGTTACACGAGTCACCCTCTACACCCTCCCATCCACACAGTCGATCTGTTACACGAGTCACCCTCCCATCCACACAGTCGATCTGTTACACGAGTCACCCTCCCATCCACACAGTCGATATGTTACACGAGTCACCCTCCCATCCACACAGTCGATATGTTACACGAGTCACCCTCTACACCCTCCCATCCACACAGTCGATATGTTACACGAGTCACCCTCCCATCCACACAGTCGATCTGTTACACGAGTCACCCTCTACACCCTCCCATCCATACAGTCGATCTGTTACACGAGTCACCCTCCCATCCACACAGTCGATCTGTTACACGAGTCACCCTCTACACCCTCCCATCCACACAGTCGATCTGTTACACGAGTCACCCTCCCATCCACACAGTCGATCTTTACCATCCCCCGACAACCTCCACCCTAGCCTACCATTGTATTTCCATCGTGAAATTAATATACTTGCAACATTTAACACGCAAAAGGGATGGCGGGGTGAATTACGAAAAGGTAAAAGATTACTGCTATTCGTATTTAAAAATACTTAAAATGATTCAAATGGGAGCTTTTGTCATGTATGTAACGGGATACAAAAGCAAGGGAAGAAACAACCGGCAATTGAGTCGCTGAGAAGCCGTGTATAAGGCCAGATTTTGTTGAAAGCTACACTTAATTTTGACGTGTAAAATAATTCTTTCTAGAAAGCGTTCTCCAATTACTTCTTATCTCAGTTTTTTTTTTGGTTTGGCGCCATTATCTATCTTCTCACCAGGCCACACACAGCACAGTAATTTAAAATTTGTACATCTAGGAGTTTGTATAAAAACTTATGCTAATGATTCCCGAAAAAAAAAAAAAAACCCCACCCCTGTTCACAAACATTTATTGAGCAGTAAATTGGGAAGCAAGAAAAAGCTCAGACTCTAAGGATCAAACGAAGATTATTTCCTCAATACTTCCCAGTCTCCTTACCTCTCTAGCAGCGCTCACACAAAAGAACAGATAGATAATGACACGTGCTGTTCAAAAGGGACTAAAGGAAATGGAGCCCCACATCACGTAAACAGACTACCTGACACTTTTGCCTCTTTCCCCGAGCTGAAGGCCGGGCTAGAAAACTCCCACGTAGATAGCCGAGGGCAGCAGACGTATGCCCTCGCTGAGGGCAGACATCTGCCCCACTGGCAAATTTCTCCCCCACTTTTTGTAGAGATAATTAGGAGAGCTATATTGGTCTTTAATTAAGTTGAAAGCATCGCGAGAATATCGCAGGCGCGAGAAAGGTGGCCCCGGTTGAGTGTTTCGATACCTGATAGCCATGTCTTTGATAGAGATAACTAACTCGAGCGTGTTATTGTTGGCCCACAGGACCCAGACACCATGGGAGGAGACTAGACAAACACAAGTCCAGTCCCACAACCTTTCATGGTGGGCTTCTGTCGCCTTTGGTTATCGCTTTGTAAGCCACCAGACTCAAGAAAAAAAAAAAACAACAAAAACAAAGCAAGATCAAAGCACAAGAGATGTGACGTCAAGTCAATATGACGTAAAATCAAACGTAAAAAATGTGACGTCGTTTTATTTACAGTGACGTCAAACCCTAGGATCTAATGGGGCGACTGATTCAACGTATGACAAATACTGAATATAAGATTAAACGACGAATGAATTAAATGTACCATAAAGACAAACTATGGGCTTAGCGCCGACAACGATAAAATATAACTTCAAAAAGGACCGTAACACAACCTGGCAATGCAGATTGGAAAATGGATGAACTTATTTGGACGGATGGAGCAGTTTTTGACATGTTTACAGCCTCAATTTCTCGAGACTTCCCGTACGTGGTTTACGCCGGGGGATATCCACGCTTGTCTCCCTTGACTAACCCGGTTTAGGGCGGTACAAGCCGAAACCTACATAAACATGACGCGGAGACTTAGCTAGATCTAGACTAGATCTAGTAGTTTTATACTAGATCTATATACAACTAACCTTCAGGGGGGGGGGGGGGGGGGGGGGAGGCGCAATACGTACAATATTAGATCTATTTAAAAAAAATGTATTTTTAAAAATTAATCAGCGGGCTTCAAACAAAGTTTATGAGATGCATAACAGCGTATGATTAACAATTTAGGAAAAAAAAAGTTTAAAAGGTAGGAAAAAAATTTAATACTAAGCAAAATGAAACAAAACATGACATTTTTAATAAGCTCCGTTGGCAACCAATTACGTTGGGTTAGTTTGTGATTAGGGGTGCTAGAAGACACCCCCCCCCCATCAGTAGATGTACACCTAAGTTAACTTTAACAAGAATTTCAGCACACAGCTGCCAGTTATCATTGCTAAGCTTTTAAACATGACAACTGCAGAATGCATTGGAGGAAAGAACAAACAATACACAAAAGTAGAGCAGGAAAAAAAGACAGGAAAAATGTAGGCAGAGAAAAACAAAAAAAATATTCAATGTTTTTTTCTAACTTGAAAAAAGGCATGAGACAATACAAATGAAAGTCATAGATTTATAAATTGAGGAGTAATTCAGGTAGTTCTACTTGAAATGGAACATGTTTAATAAAACAGCTGATTGAAGAGTTAAGGATTTTAATAAGCACATGAGGATGGATGCAGGATAAGAGAGTAAAAAGAAGGGTAAAAATGTGGAAACTTACTTGACAATAAAGTCAAACTCAGTGCCCACCAACATGAGAATGCCCAGAAAAGTAGAAATTGCTCCGTGCACAACAGGAGCAAAGGTGTGCTCCAGAGCCATTGACATCCTCTTGTCTCTGGACCCAATGGCTGTGATAAAACCCTGAATAATGGACAGATATACATTAGTTCATATGTGGGAGACATACGTTACTTCATATGTGGGGGGTGGGAGACATACATTATTTCATATTTGGGATGAGGGAGACATGTTACTTCATATGAAAGTGTGGGAGACATACATTACTTTATACGAAAGTGTGGGAGACATGTTAGTACATATGGAATTGTGTATTGTGATGTGGTGTTACTTTTTAATTTGTGAACAAGGCAACAGTATCTTAAACCAGCCCGTGCTATAGTTATGTAGACTAACCAAGTATCAAGCCCTAACTGGGACTACTAGCATGTAACTCTGAGTAGTTGTATACAAAGTTGTATAGGTGAGTGCTTGCTTACCACAGAGAGATGAAGTGTAAACTCCACGCCTATCCCAACAGACACAATAAGAATCACAGCAGGCACGGCACTGAGCTTGATGCCGATCAAACCCATAAAACCAAACAACTCCACGATCATCATACTTAACACAAATACCTGCAATTGTTCAAAACAAGCTTGATGTTATTCATTACATTAACAAAATCTTGTATCATTAATGTTAAAAGATCCCCTAAAAATATAATTTTAAACCAAAATCAATAATAGTTTTAGTACTTTATACTACTGAAGTATTTACACTTAGGTTATATATTTAGGTACCACAAGTTATAGCTATTCTATACAAATGTAAATAAAAAAGTGATACACAGGAAAACCAAAGCTTCCAATAACTATGCTATCAACACAGGTATTTTAAAAAATACAGAATAGATGATAAATTGAACTTATAAAGTAGTTTTCAACTTTAGCAACACCTCTACAGCATGTTATTGTTATTAGTGTTAAACCATGTTGTTAAACAGAACAACCGTAGTTTCTTCTAACAAAAAATTGACTTACTACAATGAAAGCAATCCACGGGTTCATTAGCACCACAGTGAGTACTAGAAAAGTAACAACCAACACACAAATTATGGATAACATGAGGTAGAAGCGCAGATTGATGTACTGCTCGTAAAACGTGAAAGGGACGCCTAGTGGAAAATTTGGGAGGCCCTTCCCAGAGAACTCATCACAGATTCCTCGAATTTCCTGCAAATATAAGCATTGGATGACATACTGAAAAATTATTCAAAATCATATTTTAACAAATTTTAATAAATCTAAGCAGATTTGTAAGTCCGATAAAAAACCCCACCAAATACTTTTGAAAATAAAAAATGAAAATCCCCCCCCCCCACCACAAGACAAGAAAACCTAGTGAAACAAGAACTCACTGTTATAACTTCTATAACTTCTTCTGTTGATGACAGGTTCGTGAGGTAAAATGGTATTTGTGTGTAGACCAAATGCTGTGATTTTGGGACTGGAAAAAAAAATAAAACCAACTTCAGTCATTAGATTTCATTAGGTTCAGTTCGTTAAAACAAAATTTAAAAATGATAAATTTTATCCAATACAATAGTCAGTTTTCTATCGGAAAGTAAACATCCAACGTACTGTCAAAATTATGATCATTTGGATCATGAAACCAGTCCTTTGGCATCGGGTGGAAATTTGCCATTGAGGAGGCGTAGGCCATGGCGTCATTGGTGACCCAGGCTGTTAAATAATTATAAAATGCTGGAGGGTTGATGACACCATTGTCATCAATCAGTCGAATCTTCGTCACCTGTAACAAAGTCATAGCAGAACAAGTTAGACACAAAGTCAGATGAATAATGGTAAACAGGTTGTTGTTAGAAGTGTGATTCTAATATAGAATAAATTGAATTGAGGAAATTGTTTAATTTTTGTTATTTTCTAAGCACAGCTTTCTTGTCTATCGTTGAGTGCATATTGTGACCAACTAGTTTAGTAGGCGTGTAAACATTTCTGTACGATAAAATGAATGTTTCCTTCAAGAAGGTGGGGTCACATCATTTATTTTGGTGTTACCCAATTCTCTGACATGGTGACTCACGAGGGTGGTGGTCGGCACCACACCGTGTTTCCATTGTAGAGTCAAGAGAAAAATGGTGGATCATAAGCAGACGAATCAAATCACCTGAGACGTGAACACAGGCCTACATTCTGTCCCCCTGCTCACAAGGCCCACACAGGGGGTGACTCACCCACACAACATAGAGACGGCAGCCTGGAGTTCTGGGAGAAATCCTTGAACTGCTATGGGAGACTCTACAGCCCCTGATTACAAATCACCCCATACAAATTTTACTGCATGAAAGAACCTTTTGTTTTTAGCCTTTTCCCTGAATAATCATCATCATTTTTTTATCAACCTCTTATTCAAGATGTTCTCCCAAAAACAACATGCACATTTTTCGAAACAATACTTTTAATGCTTAGTCCAAGGTTTATCAATCTTTACTTCACAATACAATCTTAACAAAAGCCTTCAGTGTATTAAAATATAATTAGACCATATATTAAAGGGGGTTCTGTAAAAAAAAAATGATATCCTAGTACCAGCAGGTCTAGCAGACACTTGGGTGGTTTACGTCATGTTGTGTTAATTAGTTTGTCCTACCTGATCTCTGTTGGTGGGGTTGTCTCCATCACCAGTCTGCATTAAAAGTTTATAGGCCAAGATGGCCTCCTCTGTGGCACCCTCCTTCCAGCCATTGGTGGAGATGAGGTTCTTACTTAAATCCAGATCAAAAGCTCTTTGTAGTTCTGGAAAATTATTTTTAAAAATTTTGTAAACAATAGTATACACAATAAACATAATATTCAAATACAAAAAACATAATGGTTTTATACATTATTTAGTTATTAGAATTATCATGATAATTAGGCCTATGTTATGATTATGGAAAAATAATATTTAAAAAATTGATAATCTTTAAGCCATTTTTATACTTGTATATATATACATATAGACAAAGTATAAAGTATTGAATGGGTACTGCATTCTGCTCCCTGGGGCAACACCTCACCTGCCAACCACTGTTTGAACAGATCAAGCCAAAAGGGGGGCAAAGAACCGTCCTCTCTCTTGATGATTTTTTTGACTTTTTGAAAGGCCTCGTGGTATTTGTGTAACAAAGGTTGGTTGTTGGCGTAATCAAAGTTGTTCTGGTGGAAACAAAGTAGGAACGTAATGGCCACAATTACACTTCATGTTTTAACATCTACATTCCATGTAACACTTAACAGTTTTATACTTCAAATCTTAAAAACATACATACATATATGAGTTATCTCTTCAAATTAAAGAGTTTTAAAATGTACATAGAACTAAATTTAATAGGAAGTTTGTGTTTGTGTAGCCATTTTTATTACCATTATTTTATGCTGTATAGGCTCTAACGATTAATATTTTTTTGATACAGGAAAGGATCAGTAAACAATGAATATTTACCTTAGTAACTGCATTAATACTGTAAAACCCAAAATATTTGGACTGGGCCTCCAGAAACTGAAATTCCGACGTCTCCCTGGGGACTAGATCAGTGAGGTCAAGGCCATCCTTCACCTGGGCCGTGCCCCACGCCCCAAGAATGAGAAACACTAAAAACGATGCTACCACTGTCACCTGCAGATAATATAAACAATTGATTTAAAAAAAAACAAATAATTTAAAAAACATAGGCAGAACAGGGAATAAAAAAAAAAAAAAAACAACCCACCCTATCGTCAAAATGTCTAGTGTTCAGAAAAATTACTATGAATCAAATAAGGTTAACTCCTCTGACACCAGGCATTCCCCATTCTCACACTACCACTAGTAAAATAAACCTTACCCCCTACCTCACATAAAAAGAAGATCGTTTGTGCTATAAAACCACAGACAGCGTTAAACAAGGGAATCCTTTGTGTTTGGGGTGCTATCATTCAGCAAGTGGCACTCTTATATGGTGTGTGTGTGGGGGGGGGGTGCTTTATATACTTGAGAAAGGCCCATAGGCCTACAAGCCTAAAACGATAACAGCCTTAACGTGGGACTGTACAATGTGTGAAATGCGAAGGCTAAAAATTAATAATGTAAAAAAAAATATAACTAAAGTATAGACAACGAAGAAAATAAATCATGGCTCTTTAGTTGGTGTTTATGATGACAAGTTAAATCCCCTCATGAATCTCAAGGTGCATTGATTTTCGAGACAATTATTTTTTCTAAGTCCTGAATTATTATAGCAAAGAAAAAATTGCTTTTAAAAACAGGTTCAACAACACATTTTGATCTTGTCTTCAATGAAAAGTGCATTATTTGTTTTATTGTGTCTCACAAACTTGGTTCAATCTTTCTCATTTTATCTCCTGTATATTTAGATCAATATTGCTTTAAAATTCTTTGAAAACTGTTTTCATTATATATATATATATATATATATATATATATATATATATATATATATATATATATATATATATATATATATATATAAACCTCTATGTAAAAAATCAGCAGTGATTTTAAAACCAAACGTATTTTTTACAAGACTTCTGTACTCGATATCGTGACGTCTACAGCGTCTCCCACCGACCCCTTTCCCTCCCCATTTGAAAAGGTCTTAAAATAGAGCACACTCGGTGACCCCGTGTGTGGCTGGTACAAAAGAATCCACAGTGGCTTTATTTCTTCCCCTCTACACCCGTTTTATTCACGACACTGTCTCTATTTCACCGCTATGCTTAGGCTAGAGTGTACCACCCAGAAGTAAGCGAGCTATTACGGCAATGGCGGCTCAAAAAAAAAAAAAAAAAAAAAAACGAAAGAAAAATAACCTTGTTTTTTTTTATATGCCTAGACTAGGCCTAAGCTAAAAAAAAAAATTTCTATGAAAACAAAATGTCTAGGGAAATTCTAGCACTTATAACTTGTCTTTTCTGCTGGTAGAGGGATCTAGAGACAAAGGAACCAAAGAATCAAACAGCCCAATACAACACATACAAGATTAACACGAAGAGACAAGGGAACCCTGACCCTCATATCTTTGCACTATTAAACACAAGGACAACTAAGAACTATCTAAAGCAGACAGAAACTGAGTTCAGGGGCTGTAATCGGTGGCAGGAAAGTCAGAGACGGGGAGACAAGTAGTAGCACAGTTCTAGGAGAAGTGAACAGCACACAGGCTGATGGAGAAAGTTCTTGGGGAAGTGAACAGCACACAGGCTGATGGAGAAAGTTCTTGGGGAAGTGAACAGCACACAGGCTGATGGAGAAAGTTCTTGGGGAAGTGAACAGCATACATGCTGATGGAGAAAGTTCTTGGGGAAGTGAGCAACGCACAGGCTGATGGAGAAAGTTCTAGGGCAAGTAACACCACACATGCTGATGGAGAAAGTTCTAGGGCAAGTGAACACCACACATGCTGATGGAGAAAGTTCTAGGGCAAGTGAACACCACACATGCTGATTGAGAAAGCTCTAGGAGAAGTGAACACCACACAGGCTGACGGAGAAAGAGAAAGCACAATACACCAGCAAACACACTGTACTGTACAAGGGATACAGATATCAGATGTGAGCTCCCCCAATCCCGTTTAAAAAAACCAATGGCACCATAGGTCAAACCTAGGAGACAACACAAAATTAGAATGAACAAGGAACAGCTAATGTCTGAATAAAAAACAACAAGGGATTGAGAACCTCTGGACCAAAGACTACCCCTGTTACTAAGTAGAGATTCTCAGCTTACAGGCTGGGCCTCTTAAAATAAGTGATGTGTGAACATTTTAGTAAGAGAAACTGTAGGGGTGCTTAGTCACAATGAAGAAGGATTGCCCAATAAAGGGTGAAAAAAACACCCTCTGGGCAACAATTTGGATCACTGGTTGTAGGAGGGTACTGATAGATGAGGGGTGGTGTGTGTGCGTGTGTGTGTGGGGGGGGGGGGGTTGCCAGCATGTTTGACAAAAATAAATCATTGGGTACAGCTATAAACCAAGAGCCTGCAATATTAAACCAATCTTGAATTTTCACTTAGACTGGTATTGTAAGGAGTTTAAAAAAAAAAAAAGAACAATAGCTATTGACAACAACAAATTGAAATTCTGTTTGATGCTCCATTTAAGAGCTCTCAGATATGTACCCTCCACAACAGTGTAGGTACCCCTACCTACAGCTGTAATATTAGCAGGCACTCACCTTGACAAATGTCCGCTGTAGAAAAGGTGCGTAGACCTTGGAAGCCAGACACGTCAATGTCCAGGTCAGGCATTCACGCTGTGCCTTCACACACCTGTCCTTGCAGGTGGTAGAGTTCTCTGGCGTCAGGCACTGCCTGGAAGATGTCGTGGATGGGCAGTCTGCGGATGGAAGAATGTTACAATTGATACACTTTGCTCATGTAAGACATGCTTACAGTTGATACATTTGGCTAAAGAAATGCTAAAATGCTAGGGAAAGTTTTGATTTTTTGGGGATGTGAATTCTAACAAATTTGTTGAATATGATATCCAACAAATGTTTTGGATGTGTGTGGATGTTAATCCTAACAAATGTTTTGTGTGGATGTTAATCCTAACAAATTTGTTGGATGTGTGCAGATGTTATTGTGTGGATGTTAATCCTAACAAATTTGTTGGATGTGTGCAGATGTTATTCCTAAAAAATGTTTTGGATGTGTGTGGATGTTACTCCCAACACATGTTTTGGATATGTGCGGATGTTGCGCCCCCACTTACTGGAGCCAAGAGACGAGTCCTGCCTTCTGGTGAAGACACCATCAGTGGGGGCTAATGTCGTCACAGCTCCATCATTAGTGGATCTTGTCACGGTGTCATAGCATGGCGGCAGGGTCCCAGATTGAGCGGAGTAGGGTGGGGGTGGACTGGGCTCCCGCTGAAGATCTGTCAGCTCTCTGCGCAGACTTCTAGGTTCCTGCTCCTCACAAGTGGCGTGCAGGTGGGGTTGTAGTTCTATCACATCATTCGACCCAGCAGAGCTGCTCAAACAACAAAGTATTCAAACATCATTTCATTGTAATAAAATATTTTTATTTCTTCTTTAAGTTCTAGTCAAATTAATAGTTCCCATTTGTCTGAAGTTAACAAACATCAAAGAAGAATAAATATTATCTATAAATACAAACTTGAAACTTGACCAAAAAATGTTTATTGAACAAATACAACAAAAATTTTTTAAAAAAAATTACACTGTCATATTTCCCTTTTTGAAGCCCCCTCCCCATGAAAGCTATCAATATAAATTTACCTCTGAAAGCAGCACAAGACATCGATTCTCTTGTCCTCTCTTCTAACCAGGTCCAGGCTGATGATGGCGGGATACACAAGCAATACTGACCCCAGGTTAAATAAAACTAAAATGGCTGCCTAAATAATTGAAGGGAAAAAATAAAACAATACATTTTAATGCAAAAAATAAGAATCCAAATAGCATTACCCAGATTTTCTTTTTAATGTGACTGGTTGGTAATTACTTTTTATTTTGTGTGTGTGTGTGGGGGGGGGGGGGGGGGTGAAATGTAACATAAGGAAAAAAAATGAGTGGTATTTAATTTTTATGCGTGCACTGCAACAGCTGTGAGCAGTTTTTGTTCCTGGAAATCCGTTACAACGATGAGACAATAACACGAACCTGCAGAGTGAACGCCCTTAGAGCTGGTATAGGGATGATGGCCGCCGTAAAAAAAAGCCATCATGTTACTAATGGATGTCAGCAACACGGTCACCCCTGCCCTCTTTAGGACCTCGCCTGTCAGCTCCTGGGATGGATACATTCAAACAATAATAATAAATAATGCCCGCATTGTTTTCCTTTGTATAAATAGTTGGGTGAGGAATTTTAAATAATGTGCTCATATAATAATGCGTGGTTTTGTTTTAAATTGTTTTAGTCCGTGCATTCACGGAGCCAAAGCCACACTTTTTTTTTTAAACTGACGCCCGCTCACTTGTTCAGCTCAAGAAATGTAATCGTCATTAATTGGGCCTGCTCTTTATAAACCGCCGGCCAAGAACAAACTTCACGTAAATTTACAATACCCGAACCTCGAAACCGCTGAGGTTAACCTACGCAAAACGTAAGCTAATGCACTTACATTTTCTTAATACTGTGATTTTTTTTTTTACATTCATTTCTTAAAAGCTGCATTGCTAACAAAACCGACGAATCAAATAGGGACTGTTTCTCTCCCCCCCCCCCCCCCCATCCCATGGCTGCTGCGGCTAAAAGCCAACATAATGCCTACAATAACAAGACCAGTCCATGCGTCCATGACATAACCTCACGTTAATCATCGGATGGTTTTAACACACCCACGCGAGCATCACTCGATATCTAGCAATATTTATTTACCGCTTTTCAGCGGGGTAAAAAAAAACTTTTAATCTATTGAAAAGTTAACTAATGCGTCCCGCCAACACATCGTGTGCGGCAAAGTTCAAAACATATTTACATTTTTTTTTTGCCAAATTTTTTCTACCTCTTTTAACAAGGCGGTAGGTCTGGTTAACATTAAAAGAAGAAAAAAAAACTTCGTATGGTTTTATCTTCTGTCTACACCCCCCCCCCTTCTCCCTGTGTAAGCTTTAGCTTCTACTTCTGCAGTAACACAACCCATTCCTTTAATTGTTTATACGTCTCTACAGCAGAATCCAATCAGGTTCACCATTACAGCGAACCTATTGGTGTCGGGACGTTTCATGGGTGTGTGTGTGTGTGGGGGGGGGGGGGGGGGCGGGGCGGGAGAGAATACATTTGATCAATTAATTGCTATAAAAAAAGAGTTAATTTCAAAAATATTATTTTGCTAAACAAAAAGAAAGTGACCACAGTATAGTCTAAAGTTATCTCAATGTTATCTTACGATTTAAAAAGTTGAACAATTCGGACAAAGTTGACTAGGTGTCGTGGGATCGATAAAATTCTTGTGGGAGTAGAACGATTTGAAATGTTCATATTCCGTAGGTTATTCAATTGCTACAAGATCTAGTGAATTCATTAGGTTTGCAACCATATTCTATAGGTTATACTAATGCTACTCTTGATTCCATTAGGTTTGCATCTATACTCCATGGGTTATACAATTGCTACTAGATCTAGTGAATTCATTAGGTTTGCATGAGGTCCGCCTTTAAACTATCAGAAAGCAAGAACCGGCACCAGGTAAAGACAGAGACAACCTGAGCTCAACTCACACACAGCGAGCTTCGGCTTGTTTAGATAGCGGCGAGGGGGAGGGGGGGTGAGTGAGTGGGGGTGGGGGTGAGCAGGGGTGGGGGTGAGCGGGGGTGGTTTTATAAGGGCGATAACCACCAGAAAGAAATTTAATTTCTAAGGACCTCACACACACGCACGCATGAGGACCTCACACACACACACACACGCACGCATGAGGACCTCACACTATCACACACACACACACATAAGGACCTCACACACACACACGCATAAGGACCTCACACACACACACACACAAGGACCTCACACACACGCGTAATGACCTCACATACACACACAATGACTTCACGCATAATGACCCCCACACAAGCATAATGGCTACAAACCGAACCGAAGGTACTCACACACCCCCACCCCTCCCTCTCTAGCAATCGCACCTGGGCCCCACAAGACCAGGTTCGTGTTTACGCCACCCCCCCCCCCCCCACACACACTTGTATACACCGGGGCTAAAGTGTGAAGCGACCCCAAGGAGAAAGAAATTGCCCCACACATCCTGTCGTGTGGGATAACATGTTGGAGAGGAAATCTCAAACTCGGTGCTCAGATTTTTTTAAAAATGGCTGTAAAAATAAAAACTATAACCACCTTATGTGTTCGGACCCTGACAAAACAAAACAACAGCGGTGGTTCAAATTTTCCCAACAAAGTGTCAGTATTTCAGTTAAGTAATTGTAGTTTCGAGTTTTATTATTAAAAATTACTCTAAACTTCCAAACTCCTTGTAGCCCTGACAAGCTTTTGTCGTTAAAAAAAAGAATATTATAATGTATGGTGGTATTATGGGCAACTGGTTTGAAACATAATTCTTACAAGACTTGCCCAGATGGGGGAGGGGTGGGGGAGGGTTGAGGGGGAAAAGGGGTGAGCAGGGACAGAATAGATAAACAATAGTTGAACTCATGGCGTGAACTATTGCTCTCCAAAATGTAAAGAGGAAGAATGCAATCACACTGACAAAGACAGTCCGCTCTTTAGCGAGTGGAGGGAGGGAAAAACAACTTCCGGTTGACACGTGACTGTTTGGTTTCCGCCGGTTGAATAAGTTACAGTGGATTTATTTTTACTAACGTAACGGCGAGTGCTCATCCCGCGGGATTCCAGACCCGGGGGTCAGGGATGTTTACAGTGGCGCCCTCCGCCTCCACGGCTCGCACTCTCTTAACACGGGAACTGTCGCATATGCTCTGGTCTATGCTGGGGACGTGTAGGTGGGGAGAGGGGGTGTCGGTAGAGAATAGCTATTTTTTTTTTTGTAACAGAGAAACTATTTTTTGGCAAATTAATAGCCCCAAAAAAAAGAAAAAAAATTCACAATTTTTGAACAAAAAAAATTCTAAATTTCTAAAAGCTCGAAAAGTATAGATCTATACATTTTCTGAATTTTTTTGTCCACTCTATTTAAAAGCCTTCACTCTTTGGTACTTTTCGATTTCCTCTTCAATCAAACAAATCAAGTGACAAACTTTTAAAACTAATCCTACCCTCGTAATTTTGTTTCTTTAAAAAACCCACATCTAAAAAGCATACCCGGTAATTAAAACTAAAAGCAGAGTCGATATAAAACCTAACTACCAATCCATTAGTCGGCCGTTGATGAAACGGCTCTCCTCTGATCCTCAGGCTTTTGATAAGGCCATAAAAAATCAAACCTCGCCCCCAGAACGAGGCCGGCTCTTGCTTATTAAAAATAATTTATGCAGCACAACGGCACATACACTATTAAAGGAAGATGTGCATTTTATTGCCGAACAAGATTAATATAATGGATGAAACAAGCTATTTTGGAGGGGTGGGGAGGTTGTTTTTTTCTACAGTGGTTCTCAGGATAGATAATGTAGGGTCGAGTAACAGCAGGTCATAATTTTTTAACACACAAAGTATTTTAGGGAAGAATTTAAATACATTAACACGCTAGGGGTATTATGGATAGATAGGGCACCTCCTTAAAAAAAACCCCCAACAGTTTGGTTATTTTGGGGGTAGGTGGGGTGTGTTCTGGGCGCTACGAAACAGTGCGTTTAAAGGTTTATGCCGAATTAATGACACGTGAAAAAAAACGCCACTAATTGTCGCGTCAAATGGTAGTACAGGCACTATACTGGAAAATAAAATCTACTTTTATTGTGTTTCGTTTTATTCGGTAACACAAGCCCTTTTCAAAGGTGACAATTTTAACGGGGACCTATTCACAGAGGCTTCGCAAGTACCGGTTAAGCCTGTGTTTTAGAGTGGGCTGTAGCCACTACACACGAGCAACCGAACACTGTCGACTCGAGGCAACAGACGTATTTCTCGTTCGATGCTTTATCAGCTGGTTTCTGTTCAAACTTGCCGAGCGCCAACGACTTTATTACTGCTTTAGTTACACAGAGAGCGCTGCAACATTTTTTTTTTCACCACATACAAAAACATTAGCTTTTTTTATTTTTAACACAGCATTTATATACATGAAATATGCAAGGAGCGGACAAGTATACCAAACTACATCTATGTAGTCAATACTTTTTGCAATTTTTAATTTTATATATATATATATATATATATATATATATATATATATATATATATATATATATATATATATATATATATATATATATATATATATATATATATATATATATATATATATATATATATATATATATATATATATATATATATATATATATATATATATATATATATATATATATATATATATACAACGTTGGCTCTTTAGAAGCAGGTTACTGGTGTTTATCATAATGTTAAACGAGGGTCTCGCGACCTCACTACCAACCCCACCACCCCCTTCCATCCCTCCTAGAACATTCTTCACATTTCGGACCACCTGCGTTGTTCCATAGACGATGGCAAGGAAAAAAAAACACGCAGGGGCTTTGTTATTCCAGAGTATGTTCGTCTGCTAAATAAAATGCGCGGTATAGGTGGAAATGGTGGATCGGGCCAGATTCTGCTGGTTAAATAGCGCACACTTACATCTAATCCAAGATTTTCTTAACGTTAGAGATAGTTTAGTGAGCGGTTCTTCTATGTCGTATTTATATTCAAACTATAATCTTGGCTTGTCTTGAACAATATTTGTTACTATCATAACATTCATAATGTCAACACATGCTGTGGTCAGCTCCGGAACAGAAGTTATCGTGAAAACATTCTATATTTCAATATTTGTTATAGTCAGCTCTAGATCAGTGGTTCAAAAATAACATAATGACGTGTTTGTTAACGCTTAAGTTAACTGTACTGATGACTCAAATGGTTGCATACTCGTGCATAAAAAACTTTCGACAGGAAGTGAAGCCAGACTGAAACGTACACAGACCATGATACGACCCTCATCGACCATAGAACCAACCCTACTGGGTGGGGGTGGGGGACTGTAAAGAAACATTTCTCCAGACTTGTGTAAGCCTACGGAGATGGCGGTTTTATATTTTATTCACACTCTGAGTTTTATTGCATTCTTTGAAGTCCAGGGAAAAATATTAAAATAAACCACACATGCGTACCACA